TCCCCTTGTGCTGACCCTCTACTTCTTCAAGAACCCTCCTCCTGGGCACATAGTTCATGAACTAGGACTGAAAACAGATATCCACACAAATACCTGTGCACAAATGTTCACAGCAGCATTGTTCATAATAATACAAAAGCAGACAGCACCTAACTGCTTATCAGCAGATGAGGGGATAAACACGGGGTGGTAAATCCATACAATTCAGTATTATTCACTCATACAAAGCAAGGAAGCCCGGGTGCATATGGCAGCACATAGCAGCCTTGGGAAGGGAACGATGAGTGAAAGAAGGGAGGTATGGAAGGCTACACATTCTATAATTCTGTTTATAAGAAATGTCCAGAACATCTAAGACCCAGAACAAAATCATACCCAATGTGAATGGGGGGTGGGGGACATGGAGTGGAGACCCAAAACCTACCTGTAGACAATTGGACATCCCCTAACAGAAGGGTCACAAGGAAAAGATGAGCCAGTCAGGGTGCAGTATAGCACCAATGAAACACACAACTTTCCTCTAGTTCTTTAAGGCTTCCTTCTCCCCACTGTCATGACCTCAATTCTACCTTATAAATCGGATTAGACCGGAACATGTACACTGCTACAGATAAGAGCCCGCAACACAGGGAATCCAGGATAGACAAACCCCTCAGGGCCAACAAGGAGAGTAGAGATACCAGGAGGATTAGGGGAAGGTGCGGGGAGAAAGGGAGAATCAATCACAAAAATCAACATAAAACTCCCTCCCAGGGGGACGAACAGTGGAAAAGTGGGTGAAGGGTGACAGAGAACAGCGTAAGGTATCAAAATAATAATCTGTAACTTATCAAGGGTTCGGGAGGGAGGGGGAAAATGAGGAGCTGATATCAAGGGCTCAAGTAGAAAGAAAATGCTTTCAATATGATGATGGCAGCATATGTGCAAATGTGCTTGACACACTGGATGATGTATGGATTGTGATAAGAGATGTACGAGCCCCCCATAAAAGTATTTCATAAAAAAAAGGAAAGAAAAATAAATGTCCAGAAATGGTGAATCCATAGATTTAGAAGGTGAGATAGTGTCGGTCTGAGTCAGAATCAACCGGATGGCAGTGCATTTGGATTCTGAGGACCCAGGGGCAGAGAGGGATGGAAAGGGACTGCCACTGGACACGGGCTTCTTTCTGGAGGGAGGAAAATGTTCTCCGATAAGACCGTGCTGAGGGTGACATGGAGCCCGAGGGTGCAGAGGTTAGGAGCTTGGCTAAGATCTGCAAGTCTGTGATTCGAACGACCAGCTGCTCCGTGCAGGAAAGAGGTGGCAGTGCGCCTCCTTGAAGAACGGTTATTGCTAGATCTCACTGAGTGGTTCGTCTGACTCATAGCGACCCGTGTACAGCCTGCAGAATCTGACAACGTTTCCATGCTGTCCATAAGGTTTTCAGTGGCTGATTTCTTAGACGTGGACAGCTTATTCCATCTATCCAACCTGTTCACTTTGGAGGACTCTGCTGGTATTTGAAATGGCAGTGACCCAGCTTCCAGCATCACACCAACACACAAGCCACCACAGGACGACCCACTGACCGGCAAGTGGATACAGCCTTGGAAATCGGGTGGGGCAGTTCCGCTCTGTCTTATAGGGTCTCTGGGGGGTGGAAGTAACATGGTAGCAAGGAGCTTTGGAAGGGCTGTACCACTCAGTGAGTATACTAAAACGCTGAATTCCATATCCCGAAATAGAAACTGATAACAATACAATGCCTCAAGAAAGGCTCTCCTGGTTGTCACTGTTGTCAATAAAATATATAACTGGAAAAATCTTGCATGAAACAATATAACTACTGAAGTTTGCTGTTGTGAAGCTGAAAAACAACTTTGTGGAACTAATAGATTACAATCTTTGAATTATATATACACTCCTTGGCCTACAAACAGAAACACCCCCACACACACACACACACATGCTCAATCATGATCAAAGCCCTCATCTTTGATAGTTTTGGTTTCAGTCACATAAACTCCCTTGCTTTCCACATATTTAAAAAATGTTGTCATTACAAGGTTATATTTGTCAAGGTGGGAGGATAGAACATATTTCACCTGACTGTTCGTTAGTGTGATTTACAACTCTTAAACATTTAGACATACGGTATGTGGGCGGGCACTCATGCCCCAAGCCCCACAGTGGAGAGAGGTGGGCCAGGACTCCCCACTGCCAGAAAGGCCTGGAGCAAGGAGCAGAGCCGAACTGAAGACTCAGACGGGCTTCTCCTACAGATGAAAGCTATGGAAAACCCACTGGGGCCCTCCGAGGAAGTAACAAAACCACATGAGCTGCACCTTCTGGGTCAGAGCCCCCAGGGTCCTGCAGACCTTCCAGTTGAGAGTTGTTGCTGCAAATGGCCTTCCCCTCTCCCCGGGTGACACACCTTTAATGCATCTGACTACTCTCAGGGAGGGGCTGGTCACTGTTTTCCTTTGGGACTTTACTGTCAATAAAATATTGTCAATAAAGATGGGACTTTCCTTGTTTGCCTTTGCAAAACGTTGACTGTGTTACCTTGAAGAAAAGAGAGTACGTTTATTACTACACTTGACTCTTGCCTTGAAAAACCACTGTAAAACCACCGAAAACCCCAAACTTTGACCAAAGGCTTCCAGCGTTCCCCTCCACGTTGCGATACTCCCCCAAGGTTGCAGGTCCTGTTGTGCCTGTCTCCTTGTGGGAGTTCCTGGTTAAGTGTTCAACTGCTCAGGGAAAGGCTGGTGCTTTGAATCCACCCAGAGGCAGCTCAGAGGACAGGCTGGTGAGCGGCGTCTGAAACGTCAAAGCCTCAAAAGGCCCCTGGAGCAGCTCCTCCCTCAAACCCTCTGGGTCACCCAGAGTCAGAATCAGACCCAGAGCAACTGGTCCTGCGTTTCTGTCTCCTTGTAAGGAAACTGAGCTGCTTGGATAGGGAAGCAAACTGGCATCCTATTTGGGAAGTCATCTTAGGGCCAGAATAACTTTAAGAGGGAATTAGTGGCAGGTCAGGGAGGGGGATAAAAAGATGCATCACAGGTTTCTAAAGCACAGAGGAAAAAGGGTGTCAAAATGGGAACTCTTACTCACTACCCCCTCCAAGTCAATGCCGACTCATAGGCACCCTAAGGGACAGGGCAGAACTGCCCCCAGGGGTTTCTAAGACAATAACTCTTTACAAGTGTAGAAACCTTCACCTTCTGTAGAGGGTGGTTTCAAACTGCTGACCTTGTGATTAGCAGCCCAACTGGTAACTCCTGGACCACCAGGGCTCCAAAGTGAACACAGAGCGGAGCTACGAAAGGCCTCACGGGGTTTCTCACGTTGTAGTTCACTGCTGTTCCTGCCAAGCAAACATGGCAGCGAACTGTATGTTTCATGGGCTTGCTGACTAATGTGATGGATAATCTGACAGCCGACATAAAACGGGAGTGCCTGAGATCAAAGCATACTTTCGACTGTAGCTGAGCATCTTTAATGGACTTCAATCCACTCTCCTTAGACAACAGGCCGTGAAAGTGGTGTACAATTTTTGTATTAAGCTAAAAACCACAAGAGACTTAGACTGTGTGCACCAAGGAGAGGCCAGGTAGAGAAAGAACGAAGGCTCGGAGCAAGAAGGGCATGGAAGTGTCTGAGTCTCACTTGGATAATCCATGGGAAACTCTCCAGTGCAAGCGTGACAGGCAGAAAGCCAGGAGCACAGCGCTTCACAGCCTGGCCAAGCAGTCACCACCTAACTCAACCTTCTGAAGAGATGATCAGCCACACTCAAACACAGGTTACCAGGAACAAATAAAGTCCGGGGGTGGGAAACATGTTTTACCGCAGATAATAAACGTCTCAAAACTTTGTTTAAATAAGACTTCAAAAGGCTTCCCATATTAGCCAATAGCGTAACCATTTGAAAAAAGGGAAAAAAAAGAAAAAGAAGACGATTCACTTCTAGAAATGCAACACAGAATGCCCACATCTTGGCCTGGTTTTAGGGATGATCCATCCATCATGTTTTCTACCTGGGCAGGTGGAATGCCATTATATGTGGGTGACAGTCAAGAGGCTTTTACAGTTGCTTTTAACTGGCTGGTGAAATAGCAGCGCCTTGAAGGCCAGTGTTGATTTTACCCACTACCTGTTTTATTAATGGGATTGTGGGCCACGGGGCCTCCAGGCACAAGAACGGCATTAAAGCCCCACCCCCCACCCACCGTAATTAAGTGGTGCAGAGGGGATTAGAGCAAATTAAGTGGCTTTTTTATTTGCCCTGATGTAATCTAGGCCAATACTATGAGGCTCTCCTGGAGAGTCCAGTGGATTTTCCATAGCAAGGGCTTCCATTGACTGGCCTTTCCCCCAAATTAAAAAATATATATAAAACATTCCCAGTGGATATGCTTAGAATAAAAGATGAGACCCCCCTTAGCCAGGATAAACAGCAAACGTATTGACAATAGTGAACACTTAAAGTAACTGGGTCTTTTCACATCCTTAACTCAAAAGGCATCAAACTCCCACATCACTGTCATTCGAGGCAAGGGGCTCTCCTCCATGGTGTGAGCCGGAGCTCCGGAAAGGGGATGGGAAAGCTGCAGTGATCACCTATCTGCCCTGTTCTGCCTTGCAGAAGTGAAAGGCAGACACGCTTTCAGCTTAAAGGTCCCTAAGCCAGATCTCTCTCTTTCTCTCTCTCTCTCTCTCTCTCTCTCTCTCTCTCTCTCTCTCTCGTGCGCTGCTTGATTTTTACCAACTCCATTATCCCCTTTGGACGGGAGAGAGATTCTAAAACAGTGAAGGTGGTTGCTTTGATGGGGGGAATCAACGTGACCAAGGCGGGTTTCTGTGCATGTCCACATGGGAGCACACGCATGGCAGAAGGAGCGCGGGCCAAACAAGGATGTCCGGAAGCCAAGCAGGAGCCAGCACGGGTTTTGCCCCAGGACTCAGCAGAGCAAGGCTTAGAAATGACAAGAAACAAGGTCGGAACTACTTACGAGGATCCTGGACTTGCAGTGGGAGGGGGCCCTGGAACAGCAAAAGAAAAAAAACACAAAGGAACAAGTCAGACGAGGTGATTGGAGGGCAAGTGGGTGCACAGTGCAACCATTCCAAACTACAGTTCGCAACCACCCTGAGGGGATCGTGATTTTCCTGGGATTTATTATTTTGCTCGTTTCCCAGCTACCTCTATAAGGATAAAAAAAGAAAAGAAAAGGACCAGTGAGAACGTGTCTACATCTTATAGCTCAAAGCCTGAAAAATGCTACGGCAAGTGCTAAAAATATGAGTCAATCGCATAGGCATCTTTAAACCACAGAGGGAGTTTCCAGTGGGGGACCCACCAGTTGCAGGAGGGCCTGGATTGCAACATCAAGCGAGGGCTCTCAGGCTTAGATGGCAACCGGCAGAAAGGGGCAAATCTCCCAAGCTTCTCGAGACCTGCAGCCCCCTCGTTGGGCAGAAATGCTCAGGGGCACAGTGGTTCAGAGAGGGGTTGCGGGGTCAGGGGGGTTTACACTCCATTCCAACTCTACCATTTGCCAGCTGGGCAACACTGGGTACCATGCTTAACCTCTGGACCTTGGTTCACTTGTTTGTATCATGGGGATATGGCCAACCCCAAGGTCAACAGTTCCGAATCACCAGCTGCTCTGCAGCAGGATGAGGCCGTCTACTCCCATACAGAGTTATGGTCTTGGAAACCCACCAGGGCAGCTCTACTCAGTCCTATAAGGTCACCAAGAGTCAGATTTGATTTGCTGGTCATGAACTTGGTTCGCTTTGGTACTAGCTTTGGGGTTGCCTGGTACATCCCGGCTGCCACTGAGTCAGTTCTGACTCACAGCAACACCATGGAGAGAGTTGGAATCTTAGAGTTTCCGGGACCGTAGTGTGGGTACTGGCTGGGATGTTTCAGAATTAGGGCATCTGGCTGGTCTGTCTTCTGAGGTACTCTGGGTGGATTTGAACTGCCAATCTTAAAGTGGCCAAGTACTGCGAGATTTGCAACAGCCAGGAACTCTTGGGGACGTAGTACATTCTTATTAATTGTTCATTTCCTCCTTCCCGCCCACTACGGATTCTAACCTACTATGCTGGTCTGAGAACCAAAGGCCAAGCCCAGGAAGAGGCTGCTTACCAAACTTGACAAATAAGACTCCGGTGGTGGAAACCACCTTCTTGCCATTGGTGGCCACGCACTGGAAGTAGCCGGTGTCTGTGGTGTCCAGGTTTCGGATGCGCAGCCGAGAGCCGTAGCTGGTTGCCCTGAAGGAGATCCTCCGGGGCTCCTGGACCACTGGGGCATCGTTTTTGAACCAGCGGACGGTGGGGGGTGGATTCCCGGAGACTTTGCAGTGTAGTTCCGCCGTCTGCCCCAGGGACGTGGTGATGTTATTCATGGGCTCATCCAGGGTCAGGTAAGAATCTGTGAACACACAGGGAGGGTCACACAGCTGGGGGAGAGCACTTCCCAGAGACCTGACAACGGAATCCGAATCCAGCCCAGCACGCCCGGGATGATAACAGCACTCAACTGGAGCGATCAAATTATACCTTTACCAGGTCCCATAACTACTAGAGAATCACCCGCAGAGTCTGTTGCTAGGAAGGAAATGTGTGACTAATCGTAGCGTCAAAGCCAAAGTCTACAAATGATTATAGAGCACTCATGGGTAAATGTGCTTTGTAAGAAAAAAGAGAGGTTTAAAATTTTTATTGTAAGAATAATGCATGCTCCTTGTTTTAAAATGTCAACAATACCGCCAAAAAGAGAAAGAAGTTACATTCATCTCGAATCTCCACTCCCCTAAATAATACCATTTTTAACATTCTGGTAGGCATTCTTTCAGCGTGCCCACTTTTGATAAGAAAGCAAGTATCAAGAACTGGGTAGAGTGTGAACAACAGAGTTATATGCACAAGGCAGCACAGCCGGAAGGATGCTGGACTCTTCTTCCCAGCAATGACACAGGGTTACAGAGACCAGGCTCTTGGTAGACAAAGTGATGAGTCAATGTCCCTTGCTTTCATATGCTGTAGTATATCGTTCTACGCATTGCTTTGTAACTGAGCTATCATTTGCACTATGACATGCAGAGCTCTTAATCATACAATTCCACCCCAACACACACACACACACACACACCAAAAACACACTGCCATTGAGTCAATGCCAGCTCACAGAGACCCTATAACACAGGGTAGAATCAACCCTGTGGGTTTCCGAGCTAGGAATGCTGGACGGGAGGAGAAAGCTTTGTCTTTCTCTCCACACCTCCAGAAATCTTGGCAAATGCATGCAGCCAATGTCTCAATCAGAAGAACATCAGCATCCCAGAAAGTACTCGAGGCTCTCTGAAGTCAGTCTCTGTTTTTGATAATGTGCAAGTTCTACTTCAGGGTTTTCTTAAAATAATATACTAGTAAAGACCGTAGTATTTGCAAAATCTAAGAGCAGAGAAAGGATTTACTTTATTTAAAACAGTTATCTGGCAGTCCAACGTAAGGAATTTCTTTTTAAATTCCACTTTTCTCTGGCCACCCATCCTTGGGAAGGTACCCCTGACACACGATCCCTTGCCTCTGCCCTTTCCTTTCCCTGCAACCTCAGATGGTAACCTCGATAGCATCTGTCTTCGCTGCAGGTTTCTAAAGCTCTTACGAGCAGACGCCTTGGCCATTTTGGTCAGCAGTGCTTCCTCTGTACACACTATAAGATCTGTCTGTCTGGTCCAAGAGAGCGTTCCCACCACAGTGCAATCCCAGTTAGTGCAGTCCATTGGGTGAGATCCTACCAGTGTAGCTTGGATCCTGAAGCTACTTGTGAGCTTCTGCAAGACCAGAACAGACACAGATACATAATCACACAGGGGAAGAGAGGCAACATAGGACCACTGTCTAGATGCAAAGGCAGCAGGGCATGTCCCCGGTCACTGACAACAAGGAATCAATAGAGGGAATAGCCTGATTTGATCTTTCAGTCTGCAGTACTGTCGGGAAAGAAATCTCTCTTCTTTTCAGTCACACACTTGCGAGGTAACTATGACAGGGGAAAGAATATTCCAATTATACCTATATTTATCTTAGAACCCATTAAAAACAAATCAGCAAGAACTATTCCACTGTATGAACTCACCCTCCAAAGACTGAACCAGGCTGCTTGACTTGTCCACTGTGTGACCTTGGGTAAAACTGAATCTACTAATCATATCGTCTTCATAGGGCTCTTGTGAGGATGAGATACGTTAACACAGGGAAAGTGCTTACAACAGTGGCTGGCACAGACAAATAGCATTTGAGTACTATTGTTGTACTCATGGAACAAAGATATCATTGCTGATATCAGATGGATCTTGGCTCAAAGCAGAGAATACCAGAAAGACGTTTACTTGTGTTTCATTGACTATGCAAAGGCATTTGACTATGTGGACCATAATAAATTATAGATAACTTTGAGAAGAATGGGAGTCTAGAAAACTTCACTGTACGCATGAGGAATCTGTACATAGATCAAGAGGCAGTTGTACAAACTAAACAAAGGATTACTATGTGGTTTAAAATCAGGAAAGGTGTCCCTCTCACCACACTTGTTCAAGCTGTATGCTGAGCGCATCATCAGAGAAGCGGGATTATATGATGAACAATGTGGCAGCAGAAATGGGGGAAGGCCTATGAACAACCTTTGATACACAGTTGATATAACCTTGTTTGCTGACAGTGAAAGAACTTGAAGCACTTGCTGGTAAGATCGAGAATTGCAGCCTTCAGTATGGATTAAGACTCAATGTGAAGAAGACCCAAGTCCTCACAACTGGACCAAGGGGGAGGATATCATAATACATGGAGAAAAGATTGAAATTGTCAAGGCATTCATCTTGCTTGGAACTATGGTCAATGCTCATGGAAACCGCAGTAAAGAGATCCAACGACCCATCGCTGCAGGTAAATCTGCTGCACAAGACTTCTTTAGAATGGTGACAAGCAAAGAGATTGCTTTGAGGACTAAGGTGTGACTGACTCAAGTCATGGTCTTCTCCGTTGCCTCATGTGCATGGGATTGTTGGACACTAAGTAAGGAAGCATGAAGAAGAATTGATGCATTTGAATTATAGTGCTGGAGAAGAATGCTGAAAATACCATGGACTGCTAAAAGGACAAACTGACTTGTCTTAGAAGGACCGGCCAGAGTGCTCCTTAGAGGCAAGGGCATCAAGGCTGTGTCTTACATACTTTGGACATGTTGTCAGGAGAGACAAGTCCTTGGAGGAGGGCATCATGCTTGGTGACGTGGAGGGGCAGCAGGAAGAAGGAAGGCCCTCGATGAGCTGGATTGACCAGTGGCTGCAACAATGAACTCAGGAGTGGGCACAATTGCAAGGACGGCACAGGGCTGTGCAGTGCTTTGTTCTGTTGTCCATGGGGTTGCTGTTGGTTGGGACCGACTCTATGGCACGTCAAAACAACAACATTCGTATCCTCAGGAGCCCCGGTGGTTTGGTGGTTATGCATTAGGCTGCTAACCCGAAAGGTCAGCAGTCTGGAATGACCAGCGTCTCCTTGGGAGAAAGAATCACAGTATCAGAAACCTGCAAGGGCCATTTCTACCCTGTCCCATAGCATCACTATGAGTCAGAATTAACTGGATGGCAGAGAGGGAGAGGTAGTAGTGAACTGTAGGTTTTATCTTTCTCACAAATCTACAACTCCTACAAACAGAGAATGATTGAGGTTGTTACATAATCTATTGTCAATTTGAGACTTATGAGTGAAGGGGTAGAGTTTAGCCTCTCACTCAGGTCGCAGCTTGATCTCATTTGGAGGCGCCAAGGAGATAAATAGCTTGCTGGAGGTGGGACACAAGCTCACTCCCTGCAAGACATTTCTTCAGACTAGGCACATGGAGCCAGAGGAGCCACATGGAGACCACTGCCAGCACTGAGATGCTTACACCGCCATTGGATCCACAAGACTTTCCACTCACTGGCCTGTGATCTTCCTGCATTCTGCATCACTGCATATGTTTCATGAGTCTGAAGAGGACTTTATAGATTGGTATCGGACATGTGGGCTAATACCAGACTTATGGACTTGATCTGGACTGGGCTGAGATGTGTTCCCAATATTCAACTGCACTTGTATATAAAGCTCTCTCTTATACACATGAGTGTCTATGAATTTGTTTCTTGAGTCAACCGAGTGTAACACAATGATGATCCATTCATCAACTAGTTTCCTAGCCAAAGTCCATCCAGAGTTTGATTTTTCTTTTCCTGTTTGTGTTCCATTTCACAGGGCTGTTGCCTAGCCACAAAATTAGGGCACTCCCGAGCTCGAAGGGAATTGGACCAGTCTCTATTGTGCCGATTCTGACTCATGGCAACCCAGATGTATCAGAGTAGAACTGAGCCCCCGAGGGGTTTCAGCGATTGGTTTTCCTGAAGTCAAACACTAGACTTATCTTCTGAGGCACTTTTGGATGGATCTGAATGGCCCACCTTTGGGTTGACAGCTACGCCCAAGCCCATTAATTGTTTGCACCACTGGACACTGAATGAGATTTTAGAGACCCTCCAATCTAGTCCTAATTGAATTGAATTCAAATTCAAAGGTAAGCTGATTGCCTCTACATCATATGGCCAGTACACTAAAGGATTGAGAGTGGCTCGCTGGCCCACAGAGTTCTACATCATATCAATCTAAAAGAATAAAATATAAAAGGTCTGCTGGGCATCTTGAGATCAGTGCAGTATCTGGCCCAAGGCAGTAAGTTTCCACAGAGAACAAAAGAAACGCAACATCTTTCTGTGTTTACTGAACAAACGAGCCCTGACGCAAACACAGGGACTTTGATTTCAACTTTTCACTGATAAGGAACAATGTTCCAAATTGATTGCCATCTGTAGCTGCTCACTTAATGAGCATAAAAAGCCAACGGTCTGGCTCTTGAGCTGGCAAAGGCTGGAAGGAGCATCAGAACTACACTTGGCCCAAACAACACAAAGGCATTTTGTGGCTGAACACAAAATGAAAACGCATGGCTGTATTCACTGCTATCAGTATTCTTGTTAACACCCCCCTGGACACGATCCAGCCTCTTCCCAGAATGAGCTGGATTCTTCTGGAAGAGCCTCGTGGGCCATGCTACAGGACGCACTGTCTCCACAGCCAAAGTGTGGCATGATCACGGCAGGTTCTGGACTTGCCATTCCACATGGGCATCCTAGTGAAGTGGCCGTTCTACCCACTGGTTCTGCACCTAACTAGCTGTGTGTGCCAAGCAGTCCCTTTGCCTCCCCAGGCTCTAGTTTCAGGTTCTCCAGCCTTGGTGCTGCTCCTCCTGGGCCAGTCTGTAAACTGTCTGTCATAGAAACCTGCGAGTGGCTGAGCTGGAGTGACAGACATAGGACTGTGCATCTGCGTACAAAC